TATGTGTGTGTCTACCAAAGTAGATACACACACTCCTACCCCCAGACCTGTACCTTGTCAGTGTGTTGGTATTTGTAAATGTGTACACACACCTCCGCCAAGGATTTGCACCTTGGGTATATATACAAGCCTTGCAGTGTGTGTGTGAAAATATTTTGGTGTGTATGTATACACACCCCTTCCTTGCGTGCAGGACTTGCACCGTGTGCGTGTGTGTGTGTGTATTTGCTAGCTATATATCTCCTGGCCTGATCTGCATGTACTAGGGCTGTGTGTGTACTACGGCTGTGCGAAGCTTCAGGTGTCAATTTGATTTGGAGGAGATTTGGCCCAATTTGGTGGCTGAATCTCCAAATCCGAATCAAATCAGGGGGCCAATAAAAAGGTCTGAATCTATTCAAAGCTGTTCGAATTGATTCGGAAAAGATTTGGAGAGCTTTGATGATTTGGACAGTCCCTGCCTGTTGCAGCAGGGAGCTGGAGCCAGTCGCTGATAAGTAGGGGGTGAGGGAGGGGACCATGGGGGGACACCTGCCAGCCCCCAGCACCTACCTGGTCCAGCTCCCCTGACCCCCACCTGCTCCCCCAGCCCTCCATGGCTGCCCCGTCCACCCCAGCTCCCAGCGTTTAAAAAAAAAAAAGCCCTGGTGCTCACCGGGTGCTGCCGGGCAGGGGGGCAATCCCCACTGCCCCCCACTGCATGGGGGGCTCTGTGCGAGCCCTGTAACCCCACCCCCCACTCCTCCAGCCCCCCCTATGGATGGCCCAGCTCCATCCCTTTAAGGGAAAAAAAACAAACGAGAAAAACCTCGGGACTCACGAGCTCCTGCAGCAGCCTCAGGGCTTTGGGGGACTTGTGCAGAGCCCCCCACGTGGCACGGGGCAGCTGTGGGGGGGCTGGGACAGCAAAGGGGGGGGAGTCTCCCCATGCAACGTGGGGCTGTCGGGGGCAGTGGGCAGCACCCGCCGAGTCGGGGCTTTTTTCCCCAAAAGAGCCGGGAGCTGGGGCGGTCGAGCAGCTGGAGAGTGGGTGGGGGATGGGCCTGGCAGCTGCTGACTCTCCAAATCAGATTCAGCTGAATCAATTCGGGACAGTGATTTGAATCACTGAATCCAATCACCGTCCCCCGAATCGGCTGAATCCGAAGTGAATACTAGCCACTGCGCACAAGCCTAGTGTGTGCCTATATCTATGACCACACGCACAGGTGTGGAGGTGCAAGGGCAGGGAAGAGAATCCAGCTGGGAGGAGGCCGGGGACAAGGGAAGGTGGTGGCGGTGCCACCCCGCATCCCAGCCCTCCAGGATGCGGCCACCATGGGCTGCTCACACAACCTCTGGCCCTGCCACATCTGGAGTGGAGCCTCCCAGTGCCTGCGTGCAGGGCTGGATGTGCTGACCAGGTAGTGCCTCCTTGACCTCCCTGGGAGGGCGGTTCTCCCTTCATGCTGTAGGTTGCAGGGGCCAAGCACCCTGCCCAGCACCCCTCAGACTCTGTTTGCACGTGGGTGGCCCAGTGCTCAAGCAAGAGGAGTTGGCCCCTTTGACCACCCCACCTTCCCATCTCAGCTGCTTCCACTTACCTCCGCTGGTGGAGACTCACTCCTCAGATGCCCGTCGCCAGTGCTTCGGCAGCCCCCTCCCTTGGGCACCCCCCTCATCCCTGTAGACCTTTCCAGGCAGCTATTCTTGGACACTCTGATCAGGGGGCTATGAAAAAAAACACAAACCCAACCATTTAGAGCCAGATGGGGCTTTGTGGGATTAAATACTTAGCATCTGTGGCCCATCTAAATTTAGTGTGCCATGAAAGAGTCAATGGCATTATATATGTAACATGTAGCAGGGACCATATATGGACCCTGCTACGCATTCACATTGAAGCTGGATAGAAACCAGTCACAGAGTTGTTACACATTTTCAAGCACCACCTTTATAGCAGGAAGGGGGAGGGGGGAGGTTGTTGGTAATAGCTGAATAGCCATGTTTATGGTGTGGCAGTTACTTTGCAGGTGTGGCTGGTCTACACTTATTACATGATTAACCAATTAATGTGATAATTTGCACTTATGGTTGTTCTTTGCATCTGAGGCCCCTCTAAATTTACTGAGTGATTAACCAGTTAATTGCATAATATATGCAATGTGTTGCAGGGGCCTTAATTACTTAAGGGCAAGATTCTGACTGGAGTCAAAGCCTGTGTCTCTGCTGATGCACATAGGCCTCTCTTACACATTTAAATTAAAGCTGGATAGAAACCAGCTACAGAATTGTTATACGTTTTCAAGCACTAACTTTGTATCAGGTTTGCTCTTTTTATAGCTAGACAGTCATTGTTATGGTGCGGTACTTACTTTGCACCTGTGGCTGGTCTACATTTATTGCGTGATTTACCAGTTAATTGTAGGATAAATACTTAGCACTTGTGGCCTGTCTAAATTTATAGTGCCATTAACCAGTCAGCTGCATAATAAATGTAACGTGTAATAGGGGCCATAGATACAGCTCTGTGGGCTTAATAAGCTTGCATCTGTCACAATGTGGTCAAAATAGGGCTGGATGAGCCCTAACTCTGCAGTTAAGGAACAGCAAGACCAAAGAAGTGCCTAAAAATAATAATAATATTCCAGCCCTTGAGTTACTGGCCTTGGTATTGTCACAGGCACTGTCACATAATGGATATGCTGCAGTGTACAGACCTCTTGGTCTTCAGGAACAAAACTTATCTAGGCCATTTAAAGCCAAGGGGGTGGAGGGGAAAGGACAGCACTTATGCTACAGAGAGACATAGGGATGGATGAGGGAAGACGGGACAGTGAACTGGGGGCTACCGTAAGCACAATGTCTCCAAATGCGTGCGTGTCTCCAGTTCTGAACCCTGGGTAAGGGAGCTGGGCTCCATAACCATCCACCTAAGGTATTACAGTTGTACCTGCTGATTTGTAGGGCTGTGCGAAGCTTCAGGTGCTGATTTGATTTGGAGGCGATCCGGCCCGATTCAGAAGCAAACACTAGCTGATTCGGAAGGCCATATGTGAAGCCTGAATCTGAAGGCAATGCTAGCAGCTTTGCACAGGCCTACTGATTTATTTTAGAATGAGAAAGCCCTGGCCTTAATTTGCTGGCCAGCAGCTGAAAACCTTTGGATATAATCAGCATCCTAGAATTAGGAGGGCGTTCTCCAGTAAGTTTAGATGGTTACATCTAAATTCATTCATTCTGGGGCTCTGTAGCACAGCATTGTCCCTGGAAGGGGTTTGAATGAGACAGCCTTGATTTTGCGAGGTGGAGATTGAGTATCCTGCCCAACCCAGGCACATGCTGGCCCTGAAGATGGTGAAGGGGAAGATGTCGGAGTTTTTCATAGCTCCCAAAATCAACCCCAAGGGGCTCTTGAACGAGTCAGTGGCTCACTGGGGACCAAAGGTAGGGAAGCCAGTGACAGTATGCCGGTGGACAATGATGACTTTACATTCATATTCTATGAGGATGGACGAAGTAGGGCCCTTGCTCTTCCTCTTTCATTCCATGCTGTGATGCTTGCCGCAATATTGGTTATTATCATTATTTAATGTACCCACCCTTCTCCTCGCTCCACCAGTACCCCCAGAGGATCAGCAGCCAGCTGCATCTGGACATTACCCATAGCTAGGAGGCATCGGGAAGAGAGAAATGCTAACAACCATTGTCCGGTACCCCTTATCTTTCACAGAGATCACATTGCTTCCCCCAGGTTCCCTGCGGGTCTCCTGAGCATATTGTTTTCAAACCCACTTCTCTTCTGTGTAGGAGAGCAGTGCTTTATTGAAGACTTATGAGCCTTTGAGAACACATTAGCCAAACATAGATACCTCTGCACAACCGGTGGCCCAGCTCTTACAATGAGTACCACAACCAGGCTGAAGAGCAACATGGAACACTTTGTTTTTAATGTATAGTCAGAGACAACCTCCCCCACGTGGCCCCCAGCCGAGTCATGGGCATTGAAGGGCCCCTAGCTACGGCAGTATCCCCAGACCTCAATGTAAAGCGCATTTCTTCAAATTCGTCCACAAAGAAGGAAACAAAATAATAAAATAAAGTGAGTTAATTTTTCCCAGAGACACACACATAATCAGACGACCAGCCAATGGCCAACTCAAAGGTGGTGTTAGTTTTCTGGGTTGTTTGTTTTTTTTTTTTTCCTTCACTTTCTTTTATATAGAGATATATATTTTTTTCTTACTTTAAAACTTTTTTTTCTTTTTTTTTCTTTTTTTTTTTTTTTTAAAGTTTGTGTTGTGTTAACGTCCCGAGCTGTGTAGAGAAGGGGAAATGAAGAACGCTTGTCAAAACGGCTTCCCCTTGGACTATCCAGACTTGGAAAAAGACGCTGCAGCTGTTAAACTTCCCGTTCGTTTGTCTGTTTGTTTGTCAGTGTCTCCAACATGGAAATAACCCAAGGAAGGAGGAAAAAAAAAAATAATATGCAGGAATTGATTACACAATTACCAATAAACGCTATCATCTCTTAGAAGACCAATACACAGCTAACTCCATATACAGCATGCAGTAATGGCAGAAGGACCCTGCTGAGAAATAATGTGGCTAGAACTCTAACGAAAAATAATAATATATATATATGTATATTTATATATACGGTATATATATATTCCATAAAAAGAATAAGCATATCCATCCAACTCAACACACAGCGAACATCACCCTTTCCATTTCCAAAACAGTATGTAGATAGCACAGTATCTTCTGTGTCGTACACCAGAGTAGAAGACGGAGTTTCCGGTAACGCTGGTGGAGGAATTGTTTGTAAAACCATGGGGTTTTGTTGGGGTTTTTTTGCAGGATGCGATAATTCACACCGATTTTGCAAACAAAACTGACACTCCACCTCTTCTAAACCTTGTTAAGAAGAACACTATTCATTCTTTGTGTTTTTAATGCTTAATAAACATACTTCTCTTCTCCTTTTTTTTTTCTCTTTTTTTGTGTTTTTGTTTTTTATGAACTAACAGTTCTAGGCTCATATCAGAAAATATAATTAATAAAATTAATAATGACTCAGAATCCTTTATTATCCATGATGTCCGTGTGTAGTAAAATGAAGAAATGTTTCACAATCAGTTTGCTTTCTTCCTTTTGTCATCCATGTCATCGTCGTAACTTTTGTTTTTTATATATATATATTTATATATATATATCTATAGATATATAGTAACACAAATGGCGGCACAGTTCATGAAAAGGAAGGGAAATCTCAAAAAAGCTGTGCATCTGGATAGAAGTGTTGTGTGATGGGTGGCCAATGTTGCAAACCTCCGTGAGAGAGATGGGTGGGAAAATACGACCGAGCCAACTGCCTTAGAGCGGGGTGGTGGGGGCGTGAGAAGGGAAGCTGCTCACCCAAATGTACTCATTGGTCCTCGGTACCTGCACAGTTGCCCGTTGAAGAAAAAAAGAAAGAAAAAGACTCAGTCGTGTTGAAACTTCAGCAGAAAATTTTGGGGTTTTTTTCTTCAAAATTCCCTTTGATTTCTCTCTCTCTTCCCAAATTTCCTGGTAATTATACTCTCTTGATTATTAGGATATTTTTTTCTTACAAATCGCATACTTCTTCTTGTTGCTGTGGTGGTTGCTACTCTGTGAAATCAGCACTGAGGTCAAAACTTGAGGAGCAGATGCAGGAGCAGGAGGGGAAGCAGCCAGATGCAGCCAGCTCTTCTTGATGCACCATTGTTCCCATCATGCACTGCGCCGGGACCTGCAGGAGGCAGAGGGACAAAGCCAAGGGCATCAGCCAAGACCCATTGGGAATTAAGCAAAATTGCCATGGTTAGTGCTTAGAAACATGGGGAAACAGATGCAAAAGTGACTACTGATTTGGGGCACCTCAGTCCTGCTGGTGCCTGGTTTGAAATGCTTCCTAGCATGCCTGAAAAAGGTGACAAGAATCTGCTTTTTAGGCTCATTCGTGAGCACCCATGGGGTGCCCAAAACCACGAGACTCATGACAATATCTGCCTGAGAAATCAGACACGGCAAAACCCGCTGAATCATTCAGCCCATCTCCTGAAGGGCAACCCAGGAATGTCACGACTGGTTCCTCCAGCCTAGTTTTAGAAAGCTCTGGCGATGGAGCTTGTAGGCCTCCCCCTGAAGAGACTTATCCAGCGCGCGCTTTGGGCCATCTCCTGATGTTCAGTCTAAATTTCTTCTTTCTTAATTTCATCCTACGCGTCCCATTTATACCACAAGCCTCTCTACGACTCAGTGCAACCTGCTTCTTTTCTTTCCTTTCCTAAGCAAAGGGAAAGCTGGTGGGGGTGTCCCAGAAAGAGGCACCCACGGTGTTACGCCAGATCATCTCTCAGAATTTCCCTCTCTCACAAATGCAATAAAAGGCTCACTCGGCAAATGCCTTGTGGCTCATTTCACTAGGGCTTGTGTTTGATCCCTGTGGAGCTCCGTAAACCAGCTGCATGGGCTGTCCTTAGATGGAAGCTGGCTGGCATCTAAGCATGCTGATAACCCCACGGCCCATGTGCCCGGGGCAGACGAGTTTCTGGATGTGCCTTGAGAACCTGCAGTTCCCTTCAGCTGTGCCCTTCACACATGCAGCTGGGGGATGCGTTTGCAGGTGCATTTTGTGCCTGACAAAAACCCAAGAGTGAACTCTGCTCCACGCGCCAACATTTGCAGCTGATTTCTCTATAGAAGAGCATGTGTTTTGTTAGTGAAAAATGACCTCCAGCTGGGTCTGCGGTGGAGGGCCGAGGCGAGCACTTAGAGACTGGACATGCTGTGGCGAGAGACGTAAAAGGGCTGTTTCCTCAGCTAATGCCATCTCACTTTCTTTCCCTTCCTCTCTGTTTATCAGCAGAGGCAATGGTGGGATCGCTTATTTGATGTCCTAGCTCCCCAGAAGCATATCCAGCCCAGGAGAAGGAGCAATGCAACAAAAACACAAAAGCAGTAGGACTATCCCCACATGCTCAATAATAATAATAAAAAAGTTATTTTTGAAGCAGGAAACTGAACACAATGATCATGCAGAAAAGACCAAACTAGGCCTGCCGGTCCCTGTTTTAGCACTAGACTTTGTTCTTATCACTCCTTTTCTACCCGTCTCACTTTCCCGTGGCACCATGGAAGTTTTCATGGACACAAGGCCGAGCCTGTCATTAGAAGATGTGTTCTTAAAGAAATTCATAAAAATCTTGTCTGTCATTTTTAGTAACAAGGTCTCCTGAGCCCTAAGTGTCTTGCTTGCTGCTAATTATCCCCTCTTGGAACATGCACCAGAGAACGCCAAAGGAAAGGAGAGGAGATGGAGGGAGAAGGCTGAAAAGAAAAAAAAAATTGCTCTTTTTTTTCCTCGCCGCCTAGTCTTCCTCAGTATAAAGCCATGAATTGGATTCTTGCTGCTGAGGTCTACCAAACAATGTGCACATTATGGCACTCTCCGAGTGATTTTGGTGGGGGTTTCAAGCACCCAAAAACATGGACATACAAAAAACTAGAACTCTTGGTTCCAAAATGATACCTTTTATTAGACCAACTCGGAAATTGCATGAAAATTGTCCTCTTGCAATTTCCCAGTTTGTCTAATAAAAGGTATCATTTTGGAACCAAGAGTTCTAGTTTTTTTGTATGTCTTCTTGTCTCAGACCAGCACGGCTACCAAGTACAAAAAAATGGAAGCATTCAAAATCCACGGCCAATTTTGAAAACCTGGGCCGCTGCCTTTCATGAGTCCCCCAGTCAATCTGTTGGGAAATGTGGTGTTGTGAGGATTAGGTGGCATTTGCAACTGGCTGGGGCAGGGGGAAGGGGAGCCCTTTTTTTTTTTTTTTTTTACTATTGACCATAATAATGAAAACTAACAGGAAACCAAAAATTAAAACCTAAAAACTCATACACTAACGACCCAAGGCCAAACTCTGCGATCAATGGAGTAAACAGAGGTAGATGCAAGGACAGATTGTGATCCGATAATTGGTTTGTTTCATGCTGATCTTTCAGCAGTTCTCCCGAAATCTTAGAGGTCATTGTGCTTTCTAACCTACAAATAAATTAAAAGGAAGTGGAATACATAGTAAAGATCTCAAAATCGAGATTAAAATGTTTCCCAGTGTGATGACTGACTGATTGATTGATAAGATTTCCTGCCAGGTAGCAGAAGCAGCAGGAAGTCTTATTGACAATTGTCAATGGGTCAGATGCAGTCAGAACAGTACCAGGGGAGTAGGCATATAAAATTGGCTTTAAATCTCATTTATGCTTCCCTGATCCCAGAGCTTCTCTAACTTGCACTAGTAGCATATGGTCCCAGAAGGCTGGTAACTGGGGATTGCTGGGAAGCTAGAAGCATCTTGGCCATGTTTCCCTACCCCCAGGCTGGAAGGAGATGTGCTATCGGAGCTGCCCTGTGGCACATAAGACGGTGTGAGGGGACACACAGATGCCCTAATGGGCTGGCGGAGCTGGCAACATGACTGGCATGTAAGCCTCTAAACTGCCATGCATATGCAGAACTTAGAAGATAATGTTGACACAAGAAGGAATGGGAATAAACAGGCCATTTTTAAATATATCCTGGGAATAAAGAGCAGGTTTCTAAACATTGGAGGAGCAAGGTTTGGAAACATCCTTCCGTCAAAGCAGGGTTGGCAAACAACCTAACTGGGCTTGGATGGAGCGGGATGGATTCACTATGTGATATTCTGGCCTGGCACAGCCAGAACTGGATCTCATGACCCAGGAGGCCCCATGCTGACTTGAAAAAGAGGTTTGGATGGAAAAAAATCAAGCCTACAAATGAAGCCAGATTTTCCTTCGAGCAGCTCCCATTCTGACATTTCTGGTATAGGCAACTGGTAGAGGATACACAGGGGTGCATGTGCCCTCCCGATGGGGCCAGTGCCCCCCTGATGGCCGACACTGATGCTGCCGGTAGGGCTGGTCCCCCCCCGCAGGGTCGGCGACTTCTGCAGGTGCCTCCACAGATTCAGGAGGCACCAGTCACTCATGATTTCTGGTGTGTTTTCCAAAATAATTTGTCGCCTTGTAAGGACACAGAAATAAGAAGCCCGATTTTGGGAAGAGCTGAGCAAGTGAGGTGGATGCTGGAGGCTGAAGTGAGGTGGCCTCTGTTGTGTCTCTGGCTGGTTGCTCTCGTGGCTACTTCTGCTTTTTTAAAACGTGCAGCTTCTCTTGTTAGACCGATCCTAACTTTTTTTTCTTTTAATTATCTCGACCGTTAAAAGAAAAAGTCAAGTGTGCCAGTTGGTGGGTCAACAGGGTTTATCATAATAGAGATGGACCCATCACCCCAGGGAGATGAAAGCCTAACACTTGGATTGAACCTGATGAATGATGAGCCTGGAGGGGACACACAGCGCTTTGGGTGCAGACAATGGAGCCCCTGCTCTTTCCTGGCAGGGCTGCGTCAATGGGTGATAAGGAACCTGGGGTGTCTGTGCCTAGCTGAGGCGGTGGCTGCTCTCCAGGTTTCATGCATTCATTGCTTCCAGCTCATTAGGAAAACATGTGACAGACCAAAGAGGCCAATTATCAAGCTCTATAGTATCCTAGAGAAATGTTATATGCATCAATTATGCTCTGAAAACATCTGGGAGGAATAAGGGCCTCAAATGAGGCACACTTCTTTCTGAAGCATGGTGAATCAGACCAGAAAGCCCTCGTGATCTATGTCACAGCAAAAGGGGACAGAGCACGCGCGGGGTGGGGGTGGGGGGGTGCAATAGAGGACTTGGCAAGGAACACACGGCATGCAGAGGAAAAGTCTCCTTACAGAAGATCCCTGCAGTGTGTTAGGCTACGAGAAAGGAGGACAGGCAGCAGAGTCCCTGACATGACAGAGGCTACAGTCATTGCAGTTTTAGTTCCTGCTCCTAATTGTACACGCTATAGAGTAAGACCCCTGCAAGCAGTTCTAGGCAAGCTGCAGGGGTGCCTACTA